AGGAAGAAGAAGAAGAAGAAGAAGAAGAAGAAGAAGAAGAAGAAGAAGAAGAAGAAGAAGAAGAAGAAGAAGAAGAAAAGAAAGAAAATAAATCAAGTTCCCCAGAGCTAAAATCAGCCTCTCTAACATCTACAAAGAAGGAATAGTGGCAACGTCAGGGTACGAGGTCCCCCCATTGCTCATTCCTGGTGACATGGGCATACAAAACAAGTCGGGGACAAAGTGGCACTTTTGTGCCCAAGGCTGAAGGTAAGGCTAATGTCGGAGTCAGTAGGCACTAGGCTCAGGATGGCCATTTAGCTCAAACTGTCCTTCCTCTCTTTTCTCCCTCCCTCTGTCCTCTCTTTTTTCCACCCTTCCTTCCCTCCTTCTTTCCTTCCTGGAACCTTGGTTTCCTCAGAGCTGCCAAATGGCTCTGTTCCCTCTTGGGCCTGCTATCAGCACATCTCCTCCTACCATGTATTATTAGTCCCTAGAATCCTCCAGATTAGGGGATGTTTTAGAACTTTAGAACTACTAGTGACCCAGCAGCCAGAATACCTTCTATGCCAGGAGTTTCTTTGCTGAGTGGTTTCTTTGCTGAGTTTCTTTGCTGTTAAGGGGGGGGCAGTGCCACCCATGGATGCTTACTGTAGAACATTGAACAGGTTAGAATATGAGAGCTGAGGGACTGCCGAGGGAAGGGAAGAGTTCAGCAACCAAGCACACCCTCCTTTGCAGATGGGGAAACCAGATAGCTCAAAGACAAAATGACCTGTACAGGATCACCCAGAAAAGTAGCACAAAGGCACAGACCAGATCCCAGGGCTCCTTGCTCTAGATCCCCTTGCTTCCCTATCTAAACCCTCACAGGATGCTGTAATTCAAGCACCAAATGCATTTTCCCTTTTTTAACCTCTCTGAATGCTCTAATTGAGCTAGGCAAAGAACAAAAATGTTGCATCTTTCATATGATCTCCAGCACCTTCACAAACTCTGCTTCCAAACCTGAGAACCCTGCTGTGTGGAAGGGCTGGAGAACAGCTTTAGAAGGTGGCTCTCAGAGATCTGATTCACCTGCTGCTGACTCAGCCTCCACCCCTGCGGCCCACGTAGACACAGCCTAAATTAAAACCTCGAGAGCTGGAAAAGCAGCAGCTGCCTCTCTCCTCCCAGTCCCCCTCAGCGATGAGCCAGCAAGGCTAATTTTAGCAGAGAAGACTCTTGGGGGCAAGAAGCAGAAGGGACTTTGTGATCATCTCATCCTGTGGTTCTCAGCTCCCAAGGGGCATCAAATTCACCCCAAGAAGCCAAGCATAGTTGGTGATGCCTGTAACCCCAGCAATTGGGAGTCTGAGGCAGGAGGATTATGAGTGTAACACCAGCCTAGCAAAATCCTATCAAAAAATAAAAATAACCCAAAGAAGTTGCATCTGTTGGTTCACGAAGGAGTTGGACATTGGGGTGGTCTTATAGCTCCCTGGATGGTCTGCATGTGTGGCCATGACTGAGAACTAGCCATCTTACATCACTCTTGGCTAGACACAAGATGCTGAAGCCCAGAGGGAGGAGGAACTCATATAAGGTCACACTGAGGACATGGTCAGGCCTGGAACTGGTCTCTTGAATCTTCATTACATGGGCTCATGTCTCTCTACTTGTAAGCCATATCGAATGAAATGGCTTAGGAATTTGAAAAAATTATCACCAAATATTTACCAGATACCTACTCTATTCTAGGACAGATGGAAGAGTAATAATATTCTTCCCTAACCTTGAGAAGCCCACAGTCCAGTGCAGAAAGTACACATGTATCCTGACACCCCCTTTGTCCTAGGACACTGCATGTAGAAAGGATACCAGGTGCTGAGGGAGAGCATGAATCTAGGACGCCTTCCTGGAGGAGGAAGGGCTCTGCCAAGTCTTGAAGAAGAGGAAATAAGGGTGGCTAGCTAAAATATAGAATGTGAAGTTGAATTTGAATTTTAGATAAACAGCAAATAATTTTTTAACAGGGCTTGATGGTGCAGGCTTATAATCTCAGCTATTTATTTGGCTGAGGAAAGACAACCAGAGATTCAAGGCCAGTTTGGGTAATGTAGTGCCATCCTAGCTCAAAATAAAAAGTGAAAAGAGGACTGGGTATATAGCTCAATGGTAGAGCACTAGCCATGCACAAGGTCTTGGGTTCAATCCCCAGACCCCAAACAAACACCACAACTTTTTCATAGTATATCTCAAACATTGATTGGAGTATTTATACTAAAAGATTATTGTCTATCTGAAATTCCAATTTCCCTCAGTGTGGGGCGTCACTAGCAGAAGGGACAACGTTGGAAAAATCAGGAGACTCTCCAACAGGGATGGTTTGTATTGGTGGGACAAAAGGCATGTGCATAGGTGACAAGGCAGGGCCAGTCCAGAGGAGCCAGGAAAGCCAGGCTCTGGGGTTTGGACTTGTATTCACAAGCCACCATCTTCCCATCTGGACGGCAATAGCTGCCCCACAATTCATGAACCCAGCCCAGATCTATCTCTGCCTCATGTGAGCTTTCCATACCAGTTTGAATCAGGTCAGACCCTTAGTTAGCCCTGCTCAGTGTCTTCAGAGGCCACACCTGGGAAAGTCATCCCAACTCCTAATCTCAAACCAGAAGTCCGTCCTGCAGGATCCAGCCTTGCCCCTGTGCGTCCAGTCTCTTCTCAAGGGGGATTGTGCAGATTAGGAAGTTTTGTGAGGCAATGGTCTCAACCCTGGCTGCCTACTGAAACCACCTGGGCAGGTACCTAGGCCTCATACACAGACCCTAGGTTAACTGGTGTGGAGCAGGCCTGGGTGTTAGAAGCTTCAAAAGATTCCTAAGTGTTCCAATGTGCAACCAAATTTGAAATCATGGACTCAAAGCATCGTCCCTGGCCCAGAACATCTGCTACTCAAGGAGAGGAGGTGTTGTTGCCCTTGTTAGGACCACCACATAGCCAACTCCATCCCTGCCCATCTTCCTGTCTGCCCCCAACCTCCAACCCTACTGGCCTGCCTCTGGGCTTTTCCACCCACCTGGATCCCCTCTGCCTAGAATGTTCTGTCTTCCTTCTCTTGATTTGGACAACATTTAGTCATCCTTCCCTTCCCAAGTCCCTCTTTTAGACTCTTCTGGAATGCACTGGATTTTCCTTTCCAACAGTTAATCATCCTCTTGTGCTTATGTTTTAGTGGCGTAGGCCCTTGCTTAGCTCTGCTCTCTCCCAGTAGGTTGTGGGCTACATGGACAGAGGCCCTGACTTTTTAATTTTCTGTCCCTCCAGATCTGGCACACAATGCAGGTACTCAGTAAATATTTTTTTTAAAATGGTTGATGGGATAGCTAATTATGGAGTGATGAACTATTGTTGGCATTTCCAGAAAGATCTTCTGTGCTGATTGTTGGGAAGTAGAAGGTAGGGAGAAACTGAAGCCAGTCCACCAGTGATTTCACAGCTGCGTTAATACAGATGCTTCTCCAATAACGATGGGGCAATGTCCTGATAACCCCCATTGTAAGTTTAAAATATCGTTAAGTCAAAATGCATTTAACACCCAGCCCTCTGAACACAATAGCTTAGCAACACAGTGTACTGAAGAGTGTTGGTTGTTTCTCTTTCTTTCACTATTTTATTATTTTTATTTTATGTGTATGCATGTATTGCCTACATAAGTATAAGTGCACCCATGTGGTGCAATGCCCTCAGAGGTCAGAAGAGGGCATTGGATTCCCTGGAACTGGAGTTACAGATGGTTATTAGCCACCATTTGGGTGCTGGGATTCAGGGTCTTCCTCAAGAATAGTCAGTCCTTTTAACTGATGAGCCATCTCTCCAGACCCAAGTGTTGGTTGTTTCTCTTGGTGATAGTAGAACTGACTAGGCTTGGACTCAATGTCCTGGCCCAGCATCTCAAAAGTGTATCTTATCAAATGTCACTGTCCTAGAAAAGATCAAAAATAAAAAAATCAATAAGTACTATTTCTACTTAATACACCATTGTATAGTTGAAAATAGTTGAATACACTGCACATCAATATAGTTGAATACACATCATATAGTTGAATACACTATTTCTACTTATACGCCATCATATAGTTGAGAAACTTCTAAATGGGACCATTGTAAGTTGAAGACCATCTGTACACCCAGGAAATGATAGAGCCTAACCAGGGCAGAGGTGATGGTAGGGTCAGTGGAACAACCTGAAAGGCAAAGGTCAAACAGGCCTAAGGAGAGGGTCTCATGTGGCTGAGGTGTTGTCTTGAGGGAAGACAGACAGGGTGGAAGATGGAAGGGCATCCCTAGGAAGAGACGTTTGCTGGAAAGAGTCCTTTTGGACCATTTGGTGAGATGTGCCCATGGGACCTCAAGCAGACCTGGAAACTTGAGGCTGCACTGAGAGGTCTGGAGAAGATGAGGGTCCGAGAGTCACACGATGGAAGGGGAATGTAAAAACAACTCCACGGGTTTACATTTTCATGTAAGTGCTTTTTGCTATTTCTGGGAGCAAAGTTCCCAGGGTGTAGAAGATGGGCTCTCAAGAAGCATCTCTGCTAGTGCAGAGTCATGGGTCTCCCTTTGTCTCCACAGCTATCCTGGGCATGCACACGCTCATGAGCAACCAGCAGTACTACCAGGCCTTGGGCAGCAGCTCCATTGTGAATAAGGAGGGGCTCAACAGTGAGTACGCAAGCCCTGCCCAGCTGCATCTGCCCCTCCCCCCCTTGCTGGGACCCGCTGGCACCTTGGAAGACAGAGATGCATCCATCTCCCCCTGTTTTGGCACCTCTGCCCCAGATGCTTTAGCTCATTGCAGAGGTCCTAAAAATTAAGGAGGCAAATCTAGCCATCTTTTCCTCTAGTCTGCTGGGGTTATAGCTTGTTTTCAAAGGCCTTCTTCATCCCAGCGACATATTTTTTTCTAAAGGTTTTAGAGATTTGCTTCATATATTCCATGTCTGAATCCACCTAGAGTGGATGTTTGTGTGTGCTATGGGATGAGGTTCAACATTTTGATGGTGTGTGTGTGTGTGTGTGTGTGTGTGTGTGTGTGTGCAGGTGTGTGTGTATACTTGTGGAAGCCAGAGGTCGATGTCTTCCTCAGTTGCTTTCCACCTTATTTCTTGAACCTGGAGCTCACTGATGCGGCCAGAGAGCTCCTGGGTTCCTCCTATCTCCACTTCCCACATGGAGTTAGAGGCACATGCTGTCATTCCCAACTTCTTTTTCCACATGAATTCTGAGACTGGAACTGAGGACTTCATGCTTGCGAGGCAAACCCTTTACTGGGTTTGCAATCACTCCATGATTAGCCATCCCATCAACCATTTTTTAAAAACATTTCCTGAGTACCTGTACTGATTGCCCCATCTCTCCTCAGTCACCAGCTTTCATTTCTTAATAGATATTCATTTCTTCCCACCCCATTCTTTGTAAAGTGTGTTTTCTCCACTTTGTCTTCAGTTTTCACTGACCTCTTCTGTCCCATGAGCCCTTTTGTCCTTTCCTTGGTCAATATCACATTGTCTCAATTACCTAACTACATTATTCCAAGCTGATGTTTGGGGACCAAAGACAAATGAGGGTGCCAAAAGGATAAGTACTCTTCCCCTTGGAAGAGAACTGTATACCTTCCCAGCCTGGGCCTCATCTTACCCTCATGGGAGCCCATTGAGATAATAAACACTGTGGTAATCTCATCCCCACTTGACAGACAAGGGCTTGAGATTCAGAGGCTTTATCTAATTCACCAGGTCTTGCAGGAGGTCAAAGGCAGCATCCAGAGACAGCCTGAACCTCTTGGCACCCTCCCCAGCTTCTTCCAGCATCTTTCTGCCCCTGGTAGACGCTGCAGTGGTGCCGCCTCCCTCCCTCATGCCTTGAACTTCACCAGCGCTTCCTCTCCGGAAGTCCTTGTGTTGGGAGAAAGTGACCCTCATGTTTTTGTGAGCCACTTCCCTTTTATCCATCACCCTAGGTGTGATTAAACCCACACAATACAAGCCTGTGCCCGATGAAGAACCAAATTCAACAGATGTGGAGGAAACGCTAGAGCGGATAAAGAACAATGACCCAAAACTTGAAGAGGTTAATCTCAATAATATACGGGTAAAGTCCCTTTATTTCACTTAACCTATTGTGAGTGGTGGTTGGAAGAAGGGGAGACGATGTCCTGCCATGTCATTCAGATATCAACAGACCAGGCTGTGCAGAGTGGCAGGGTCCTATTTGGACCCCGGGTACCTGAATCAGGAACAGAGGCAAGCTTTAGTGTACCCCACAGTTCTGGTTTCTTTCAGAGGATAAGTCTAGCCTCAGATGTCTACCACAGGGCAGTCCAGCTTCGATCTGGACACCTTCCATGTTATTCAAAAACACAGAGATTCTCTGTGATAAAACCATGAGTCAGACACATGCTGTAGCACAAGATCCCAAGGCTGGCAAAGTCCAGTGCCAGCAAGGCTCATGGGGTCACCAAAACCCAGGTCAGCGCTAGCCCTGAACCATCACTGCTACCCCTGGATCATGCTCATATTAAATCTCATTTACAGTCACTGAAGCACCCAAACAAATATCCAAGCTATGTCCATATCTCTGTGGCCACCAGGGCCAGGGAGGGACAGGTGGGCAGGCTGCAGGAGGAATGGGGAATCAGGCACAGCTGCCAGCCCACCTGCTTAGCCCTGAGGCTGTGGGATTAGCTGTGGGACATGATGGGTAAGCTAAGAAGCCAGCCCCTTGCTCGTGCTCCTCTCTCCTTTCTTCTCCACTTTCCTTTCAGCAGCTGCCAGCCCCAAGTACAATCAGATTGGAAAACTGCACCCCAGGCTTTTCCTCCACATGGCTCCCCTCTCTGCTCCCACAGGGGGCTTAAGTGACACTCTGAAATGAGAGCTCTGCAAAAACACAGCCAGGCTCACTCGCTCTCAGTGCCTCAGTTGTCTGCTGTGTGCCCAGGAGAGATGCTGGCACAATTCAGAAGTGGACATTCTAGGGACGAATACTGCTCCAGACAGGAGCAAGTGGTGGAACCTCATTGTGAGGCCTCAGCCAAGGACTTGAATCCCTCCAGGCCTCAGTTTCCCTCCTGTATCATGAGGCAGTTGGACTAGATCTGTTTTTCACATAAGAAGATTAAAAAGCACACAGCAATGGCCAGGTCACTACTGAGGTTCTGCACATGATGGTCTCGGGTAGGCCTGAGCAACAGCATGTCGTGAACAGTCCCCACAATGTATAGCTAGTGCTGAGACCCCCCTCTAGGACAGGGGTCTCAGAGAGTGGCCAGCGCATCTCCCCACTTGTTTTTCAGAAACAGGCCCAAAGAGAGGAAGAGAGTTCCTCAGACTCACACAAGTCAGACAAGCTGCTAGTCACTAGGTGGAAGTCAGCATCCAGCTGTGCCCTCCTCCAGTCCTGAGCCCTTTGCATAGTACTCTGAACCAGGCCTTGAGTTTTGCCTCTTACTCAGCCTCCCTGTACACAGAAGAGAGTTGTGGATCCTATCTGAAAATGTCAGGGGTGATTTCCTCAATCTGTATATAGGAAGTTCGGATTTTCATCCATCTGGGGAATGCATGACCCATTCAGACTTACTAGAACTCAGCAGGGAGCCAGGCTGCCTTTGGAGGAGAGCTATTGCCCCCTCCCCCAGTCACCTGCCCTACCAGTCCCATGTCCTATGGGTTGTTGGTCACTCTCCTGCCTTTCTCTCTACAGAATATTCCCATACCCACCCTCAAGGCCTACGCAGAAGCCCTGAAAGAGAATGCCTACGTAAAGAAGTTCAGCATCGTGGGGACCCGCAGCAATGACCCTGTGGCGTTTGTATGCACTGTCCTCTCCGTTATGCTGCATAGTCTCTGGAGGACTAGGGCCTGGTTGTATCCCATTGCTAAAGAGTCCTGTGTGGTGGTGGTGGGGAGGGGGGATACAGCTAGGAGGTGGGAGGGTATGGAGATGGGATAGCTATCACATAGTGAACTGTCATCATCCCAGCTAATCCTCACATTTACCCTACTCTCAGAGGTGTGGGTCTCCAGAGAGGTCAGGCAACAGGCTTTGTCTAGTCCTGACAGTGGAGTCTCTCTCCACTCAGCACCTCACATTTAGACAAGGCTCCTCCCCTCCTTGGGTCTCCATATCGCCATTGTCTTCATCAATTAATCTCAGTGACCAATTGAAAAAATTTTTTCTCTTTGATCTATTAATTTTTATTTTATGTGTATATGCCTTTTGCTTACATGTTAGTAAGTGACCCATGCATGCTAATGCCTGAGGAGGCCAGAGGAGGTGTCAGATCTCCTAGAACTAGAGTTAACAATGGTGGTTAGCCACCATGTAGGCGCTGGGAACCAAACACAGGTCCTTTTCAGGAGCAGCCAGGGCTCTTAACTGCTGAGTTATCTCTCCAGCCCCCTAATGACCAATTTTACTTCTACTAATGTCTCTAAAAATACTGCCAATCAGTCGGGCATGATGGTATGCATGGCTGGCTGTAATACCAGCACTGAGGAGGAGGAGTTGGAGGCCAGCCAGGGCTACATGAGACTCTTTCAAAAAACAAATTCTGTTAGTCAAAGTAAATTGTATTTATCATAAAGTAACCATTAATGCTTTTAAAAAATACTCAATGTAAATTTCTTGAGAGTCCCTTTATGCAGAACATTGACTTGGGCCCTGGGAATCCACTTGTTATCAGACAGTCTCATGCCCCACATTCATAACCATATCCGTCCATTTGGCCATGAGGGCAGCTGAAGGATACAGCAGAGAGTATGTACCACAGGAGCAGGTGAAGCATAGGGATTAGCTTCCCACGGAGAGCAGTTAATGTAGTAGCAACTAGCTCTCTTCCAGTGTTTAAATTAGGCAGGTGAGTTCCCTTTAGAATTTTTGAAGTAATAGAAAGAACTCACCTTGGGGGGCAGAGGCAGCTCACAGACTGCTAGTGAGGGAATCACTAGATCATGACCTTTGACCTCAGCAGATCCTGAGTCTGTCCATGTAACATAGCTGGAAAACTCCATGTACTATTTGCTCATGGATCACCAACATCCATGCTGGCACTCAGCTCCATGCCATGGATATCTGTGGGACGTGGAGTTCCTGCCAGGCTGACAGCTGGTGGCAGGCCATTCATACCTGCATACCCATTGTCAAGTGCTGAAATGCTTCTGGCCAGTTGCTAAACTAAGTGCCAGGGACCTGGAAGTCTCCTTACTGCTGCCTGCCCTGGCTTGTCTCCTCTACCTTCTGTTCCTCAATAGTGACCCGTACACAGGATGTGACACATGCATGATAGGGCTTCAGTCTAGTCTAGCTACCATCACATGCTGCCTCGTATAGACCTGAGATGCCTGCTAGTTGTTAAATGGGTTGATGGTTAGATCAGGCCAGGCTTTTCCTGGGTGTCAAGGTTGGTATGGTGGTCAGAGAAGATAGAGACAAGGCCCCTATTCAGAGGACAGTCATGGTTACAGAGAAGCTGGCACACCATCTCTGGGCACACTGGAGTGAGGGAGCCCAGGAGAGAGATGGCTCCTGCAGGAAGGCTTCCTGGGAGCTGGGCCTCTGGCAGGGTTGAGCAAGCTGGGACAGCACAATAGGGCAGCCATTCCTGGCATCACATCAGATTGATCACGGTGGGTGTCCCAGGCCGCTCAGATACTGGTGTCTTCTTTCCCTATGACACATCGTTTCCACCAACTGCTAATTACCTCATTTCCTTCAGAGGCTTCGATTGTCATCCACACTCCTTGGCTGAGTCCCTCTAAAACGTGCTGAGGGCCACCTGAGCCCTGCTCTGCAAGCTGGCTCTGGTCACTTGCTTAATGGGATGTTGTCCCAGCTTTCCCCCTCTACTCTCTGAGACTCAGAGAAAGAAAACTGACATTTCCAAAGGAGCATAGAAGGGACACACTGAACATACAGGGGAGATGGAGGCTCCACAGGGCCCCCAGTGATCATTGCTCAGTGACCTACTAGTGCTGGGCACTGTGCGGATATTGAGGTACATTTTTAGCTCACGAGGGCTGGACAGTCTACTGGTAGAGACACAAACGTAAAAAACAATAGGGAGGGCATGGGAGCACTGGGGCATAGCCGAGTTAGTAAAGTGTTTGCCTTATAAACATGAGGACCCCAGTCAGATTTCTAGCACCCATGTAAAAGGCCAGACAGTGTCACACTTGCAATTTCAGCTCTGGGAGGCAGAGAAAGGACAATTCCCAACACTCTGTGGCCAGCTAGTCTAGCCTAATTGGTGAGCTCCAGGCCAAGGAGAGACCCTGTCTCAAAGGAGGTGGACGACATTCCTGATGATATCGGAGTTGTCTTCTGACTTCTGCATATACCCGCACCCAAACATGTACTTACATACATGTGTACCTGCACATATATGAACAAGCACGCATACACACATATGTACAAATGAAAATAGGGAACTAAGGAATGCAGGTCCCATGAGGGAGACATGGGTAAATTCCATGAGGTTCCAGAAAGCAGACCACAACTAGCTGGGGATGTCAGTAAAACTTCTTGGAGTCAGAAGCATTGAGAAGGGCCTTGAAGGATGGGTAGGGTATGGGTCAAGTGAGACAGAAAGGGTATTCCATGTGGCCACATGGATCAAGCAAAGGCTGAGGGGTGGGAAAGCACTGAGCACACACAGGGAACTGGCGTTCTCACTGAAAGGATCAGGGAGGGCCAGTGCTGCACAGGGGAGGAGAAGCAGGTCCAAGGCTATGAGTGCTGGTGAGAAAGATGAGCGTTCTCCAGCAGGAGTGCTGGGAGCCATGGCAGGTAGAGGAGAGGAGAGACACAGAGACATGCTTGGAAAGGAAGTTCCAGAGATTGTCCTACCTATCCCCCAAGAGGGGCTCTCCAGCCCACAGGCCCCCACTTTTTTCCTGTGGTCAAGGCTCTGGCCGAAATGCTGAAGGTGAACAAGGCGCTGAAGACCTTGAATGTGGAATCCAACTTCATTTCGGGAGCCGGGATCCTGCGCCTGGTGGAAGCCCTTCCACACAACACTTCTCTGGTGGAACTGAAAATCGATAATCAGGTGAGACGGACCAGGGTCTCCTCACACCCTTTGCCACACACGGCAAGCATGGCGTAGCAGAGGATGCTGATGATGACAGAAACTGCAGAGCCCACTGAGCCCAGTCCTGGTTGTCCTGTCCACACCCTCCACCATGCTACCTTCCTTCTTTCCTGCCATGTGCTCTGCCAGCTTTTTTGTGTCTCCTGGGGGTGGGAACTCGCTCTTTATCCGCATCACCTTTCTCCTTCGGCTTTGAGAATTTCCTTCCTTAGACCCAGGACAAATGAGCTTGCCTCTAAGTCTTGTGGGCTGCCTCAACTCTGCTGTCTGGGGCCTCAGGACATGAGGTACACAGACCCCACAAGGCATGGTACTCTTCTTCACCAGGCTCAGCATCCCCATTCCCCCAGTCTCTCTTCTCAGTGGGGCTTTTGAGTCTCCTCATCACTCAACCTCACTCTAGGGAAATCCCTGTTGTCTTTTCCTGTGCAGTTCCTGCTCCTCTGACTTCTGTGGTTCAGTCATTTATCTTTGGGCAGCTCTTTTGGTACCAGTTACCTAAGAAGTTAATAACCAGAGTCCTGTGTAGCAGTAGCTTAGATGTGAAAAGGTTGAGGGCTATGGTGGGTGGGGCTCAGTGCTACTCACCATGTGTCCATCATCTCTATCTCCATGACCACCCTGTAGGATGTGGGTCCTCAGTCTGCAACAGAAGAAACAGCTGAGAGGGGCTAAAGAAGGGAAACTTCCTCAGGGTCAGAGTCAGCACTCAGAAGGCAGGATTTGAATCCATGTCTCCTGATTCCAAATCCCTCAATCCTTCCACTACTAAACACTTTCCTCTTTACAGAGGGGGAAAAGGGTGGAAGGAAATATTGCAAAATTTTTGCACCCAACTGAGATACTCATTATCTTTAAACTTTCTTATTGTAATGTAATGAACACATAGAAAAGTGCTTAGAATATAAATGTACAGATTAACCAGTCACAACAGGCCCGTGATCCCATCCAGGTCAGAACTAAGCATCACTGTCTCCAGAAGACTTAGGTCACCGCATTTCAGTCATGGCCCTCTGGAAACCTGCCAGCTTGCCCCGACCCGTCCCTTGTTCCCACACCCTCAGACCCTGGAATATCCTACCCTACCTCGCCTTTCCCTGCCTAGAGAAACCCCTGGCTTCAGGTGCCTTTGTGTCTCACAGTGTGCTAGAGCATCCTGAGCTAGTTTAAAGGGTGATGTGAAGGTCTCTGCCAAGCTCTGCCTTAGTGATGCCCTTGGCAGGTTGGCATCTTCCGTCACCCAGATGAGAAGTGTTGACCCCGTGGAAACTGGCAAACACTGTGTATCAGCCTTCCCCTCTCTTCCTCCCTCCCTCCCTCCCTTCTTTCCTTCCTCCCTCCCTCCCTCCCTCCTTCTCTCTCTCTTTTTATTGAGAATCAAACTACTACTGCCTTCTCCTATCAGCCTCCATAACTTCTCCAAGTCTTTCTGTCCAAGAAAGCTGGGTGCTCCCTTATCTGTGGTCCCCTTGCCCTTTAGCTTCCCTGTGAGTGTCCTAGAAGTTGGTGCTGTCTGAGTCCTTTCCATATCTCAGTGCCCAGCCCAGGCCCTGCTCTGGTGCTTGATAAGCAAGGTTGCCCTGGGTGGTTATGCATATTGTTCACTATTCAAAGAGAGGAGGCCGGCAAAATACAACCCACAGCGCACCCTTCAAGCTGTATACTGTAGAGAGGGCACTTTTCTAATTCATATTAAGAGGCCAGGTAAGCAGCAGCCTCGCTGTCATGGGAACCTGCTGTGTTGGACTCAGCCTCTCTCACAAGCTGGTGGCCTTGCAGCTGCACCAACCCTGACCCTCTCTGCCCTGTCCCTTGACCACTGCAGATTCTGCTCTCCATTGACAGAGGTAGAACAGATGGATCAAAGCTTCCATCAGCCCCTCCTCTCCCACTCTAGCTTCTCATGGGATTCCCAGCCTGGTCAAGCAGAACCCTGGGCCTACACAGCATCAGCTGAAACCTGACTCCAAGGTTAGCCCAAGAGCTGGTGCACTAGCCTGGGTCACTGAAGTGGTGGCTAACTTAATGCCTGCCTTTGGGTTCAGCCATCCCCTCAGGGCCTAAGAGAGAGCCCACACCAACCACCTCCCTCACTGGCTGAACACCCTGGTACAAGAACATTCATTCCACCATTCTCAGTTCCCCCTCTTGTAAATGAAGATAGTGACTCTCCTCCTAAGGGAATTACAGATGTGAAGGCTGGTAGCTTTTAGGGTTACATTGAGGGTGAGCACTGAGCAGATGTTGTGAGGCAGAAAGCACACTGACCGCTCAATGTCCCTGCGCTCTTCTACATTTATTCTGTAAATGACTCTAACTGCCAGGTGGGCTATGTAACCTACCTAGAGTCACACAGTAAGTGACAGGAAGAAACAACTCAGGTCTGTGTGACTCCAAAGCTCACACACGATGCCTATTGAGGTTCTTGAAATGACTGGTTTTTGAGCCTGGCCCAGGTCTTTCTCATCTGTCCCTTTCCCTTGACCATGCTGGCCTCTGTGGAAATGAGGATCCAGCTGAGCCCTCTCAGAGGCCACATTGGGTGGCAGGAGAGGCAGGTGCAGAAATGACCATCATACCAGGTATTTCTGCAAGTCACAGACAGAGCCTGAGGTCCAGTAAAGGGAGCAACCTATCAGAAGTAGGTCAGAGGGCATCTGGGAGGAGGCAGCATCTGATAAACCCACAGGGTTAAGAGTATCTCAGAAAGCAAAGTGGAAGTCGGAGCACCCAGGGAAAGAGAACAGAGAGAAGTCTAGAGAGAGTTGGGAGCCCACCCAGGTAAGATTTCTAGGCTCCAGAGGAAGCCATTGGGGTTCGAGAAGCAAAAGGCTGAGGAGGTAGATTAAGGGGCAGTGTGCTGTGGCTGTACTCTCTCTGGTAAGGTGACCCCTGGCTGGACAGGAGACTGGCATTGAAGTGTCAGGATCTGTGACATAGAACTGGAGACTCTGAGACCCTGAACACCAGGCCTCAGGTTGGAGGCTCCACTGATCCCGGCTCAGGGGAGAGCCAGGAGCCTGTCCCAGTGGGTCTCAGAAGGCCCAGGCACAGCTGTCTTTGCTTTGGTGGCCTGAGTAAGGGGGAGGGATCAAGAGGAGGTGGTGAGTGGCATTTGATTTATTCCTCCTCCTTGGTTCGTCACTGAGGTCTTCAGAGGCCAGAATGTTTGCCTCAGTCCTTGGTCTTGTAACCTGTGTTGAGAGACTGTCCTCCTTTCTCCTTTTACGGCCAAAGAAAGGGACTTGGGGAGCTCTACCCAGGGTGACATAGAGCCTGGCAGGCCAGGATTCTAAAGCAGTTTGTTTACTCAGTCCTTCCCTTTATCTCCAAGCAATGCTCTGATTCTGTCTGAAGCCTCCTCACACCCAGGGAGGGTGGGAAACAGCCCAAGGGGCTCTGAGCTAGGCTGACAGGCACTAAGAATGTCTCACCTGCCTCCTTTTATGGGGGTTGGGGGGAAGCTGAGGACCCAAAAAGGAAGGGGGAATGACCTGAGTTACGGGTCAGGGTCCTTGATGGACAGGAATGTCAGCATCCTGACTACATGTTGGAAGGGAAAGATCCCATCAGGCCTATAGAGTAGGCGTTAAACATGGGGTGCTTAGAGGTCCCCATCCCATGTCACGCCCTACCTCCAATTGGTGCCATACCCAACAGATCCTCCCCAGGTCCTTCAAGGCCTCTCACAATAGACCAGGCCTGAAAACATGATCCTCCAGTTGAGGCTGTATGCACTGCCTGGGTATACTGGCTAAAGCTCCCACTTTCCCCTCCTGTATATGACAGGGAAGCTCCCTAATATTATGAAGAGAAGCCACAGGAAATGGATTATGTGTCCATGTTATTTTTCTGATTCATGTCTGGCTTTTCTCTAATTCAACCTTGTCTGAGAGTGTATCTGTTATCTATAGCTGGGTAACGAATTATCCCAAAGCTTAACCTCAGAGTCCTGGGATAAACCAACACTCAACATGCATTAGTTCACAGTTTCCATGGGCCAGGAATCCAGGGCAGCTTAGCTGGCTAACTTTTTCCATAGCAAGTGATTCAAGACAGAAAAAGATAACCTTGATTGTCTTTGATGACCCAACCTTGGAAGCTGTACAAAGACTTTTCTGACATAGTCTTTTAGAAGGAAGTCATTAGGCAAACCACCCTCTCAGGAGGAAGGGGACTCGTGTTGACCAAGATCCTCTCCAGGGTACCTTGCTGGTGATATCTGTTCAAGTGCTTCCTGAGGCCCATGTCATCTAGGCAAAGAGTTGGTCCATCAAATGAGCTTAGCGAGCTTCTTGGTATTCAGGGTCTCGGAGTCTCCAGTTACATGACATGCTACCCAAGGATGTACCCACTTGTATATGCTTTTGGCAGGGACAGTCACAATGCTAATTCAAAATGTGCCCCTCTTTCAACCCAGCAACTCCATTCTCCATAACCAACTTTGGAACAGTCCCTCCTCCTCTGCAAAGTCCACTGCACATTGTTTGTGGCAGGAAGTGTGAACACAGTCTAAACAACTGTCTACCCTATGGCATCCCAGGGGCATCCCAAGAAGTGGTTAAAAATAAGGCAGTCCTTTTCTTATACTGCCTTGGGAAGATTCCCACAAATATTAAGCAGAACAGGCAAGTTGCAGGAAATAAGTAAGTTATAAATCTATTTAAAGGAAAAAGGGTAACAAACAACACAGCCCCATCTCTGCCTGTATCTTCTGTCCGGAAACACAGCCAATGGCCGTGTGAGTGTGTTCATGGACAGGGTTTGGGCTGGGAGGAAATGGTACAGAGGAAGACTCTTCACTCTACTCCATATTCTGTAGAAATCATTTGAATGTTGAAAAATGAGATTATATTTATTTCCAAGTGATTGATTTAATTCTTCAGCAAATCTGAAAGGAAGCCAGAGTTCTTCCGTGCCCAAACTCTGCTGGTGCCAGTCCCGGAAGCCTAGCCCTT